ATATTTTACTATTAATGTCACAATATAAAATACTCTTTACAGAATAATTAATGCAGAGTTTTGAAATGTTAAAACTTGTCATAAGTTATGAAAATAAATAATCTTGTAAATGTTGCCCAAATGTTTAAAACTCCTTTGCCATCAAAAATTCTTCTGAATATTTGTATAAAATACTTAAAAATTGTGATTGTTTGCCTTCAGACACACAGCCTGATATCAAACAGATGTAGAACCACTTATCTATTATTCACCAAACAATGTGTTGAATATTTCTGTCTTGTTTTTTTATTTATCAGATTATAAATTGACCATTTTCTCTGAATTTGAATGAGAAACATAAAATCTGTGCTGTTTTATGATGAGTTAAAAAGTACTTACTTGTCACAATCAGCTTGGTGCCTTGTCCGAATACCACAGTGATTCAGTTTGTACACATGGCTGTACAAAAACCTCCTGACTCTCACTAATGAGGGTAGTGGAACTGAAACATCCTGTTGAGACCAACTTTCACTGTCAATGTCTCTTCATTTCATCATTCTCATTATATTCCAAAACACTGCTGGACTTGTTTCAAACACTTTTGTCTCTTTCAGGGAATTTATTTAATGTCTGTTCTTGTTTTGTTCCAAGTTTACTGATTTTAATTGTTTGATTTTGGTCAGAATTCATAAAATCTGCAGTGAGTCTCTCACTGAGGTTTTTGTCACAGTGTGAATCACTGTGATACTTGCTCTTTAGCAGAGTTGTCCCATGTCTGACAGTAATAGACAGCAGAGTCTCCTGCCTCTGTCCGCTTTATGATGAACTGGTAATCTATGTTTGATGAGGATTTACAGTTGAATCTGTCTGAGGAGAATCCTGATCCAAAGTTGAGTGCGCTGTTAGAATAATGAAACTCCAGAACAAACTGAGGAGCTTCACCAGGAACCTGTTTATACCAGACGACATATTGGCTATCATCTCTCTGAATGTTGCAGTTGAGAACAACTTGTTGTCCTGTAGAAACTGTGTGGACAGCAGGCGTCTGGGTCACCACTTTCACTGCATCAACATCTGTCAACATACAGAGAAAAATACATGAGTCAAAGGTTTGTGTGTGAAAATATGGGCTATAAAAGGACTGAGAAGAATATCTTACATGTTAGAGCAGTGATGAGAGTGCAGAGGGTCCCCAGCATGTTGTCAGTGTGTGGTGTAAACGTCCCTTACTGTCCAGCTGAGAGGTGAGCAGGGTTGGAGTGTGAGGAGAAGAGAGACTGAAGCTTATAAAGACACTGAGGAGAGGAGAAG